ATAATAATAATAATAATAATAATAATAATAATAATAATAATAATAATAATAATAATAATAATAATAATAATAAAGTTGGAAGGGACCTTGGAGGTCATTGAGTCCAACCCCCTGCTCAGGCAGGTAATCCTATACCATTTTGGACAGATGGCTGTCCAGTCTCTTCTTAAAAACTTCCAGTGTTGGAGCATTCACAGTTTCTGGAGGCAGGTTGTTCCATTGGTTAATTGTTCTAACTGTCAGGAAGTTTCTCCTTAGTTCTAGGTTGCTTCTCTCCTTGATGAGTTTCCATCAGTTGCTTCTTGTCCTGCCTTCAGGCGCCTTGGAGAATAGCTTGACTCCTAAAGACAGTATACTTAACACTCTTGTCTTCTGTTTTCCTTATGGCAACAACTTTGTTGGGTAGGTTAAGCTGATTTTCCTCCTTAAATGATAGAGGTATGTAGTTGCAGAATACAATGATGCTTAAATAGCTGTATTCAAACTTCTGCATATCATAGATACATTGGAGAACCTTGAGCAAATTGGCTTCTGCTGTATAAATGTGAAAATATGCCACAGTTTTGACCAATTACTTTAAAAAATGGCCTTACTTTCAAAGTAAATGTATGATGGCAACTCTTGTAGAGTAGTGCTGTAATCACCGCATCCAATATATCAGATATTCATACAAACACACCTCCTTTATTTATTATATTTTCTATTGGGTATGAATGGCTTATTTTCTCCATAAAATTTATCACCTTATAGGTATTATTATGTAGTTCCATTCAATGTATTTTAGGAATACTTGCAGAGCAGAGCTGGGCTAGGCTTTTTTTTTGCAAAACTGTATTTTTACTTGTGGCATACAGTCATGCAGATTGATTAGCCTGATGGAGGAAGAAAGGGATGTTGTGCTTTGTGATTAACGGTATTTCTTCAAATATTTCATTCAGTACTCCCCCCCCCTAAGTAAACTTGCAGCAATCATAGTTGATTTTATTTTAATCTTTTTCTTCTTCCTCTTGATCTAAACATTTTGGTTGCTTCTAACTCTAGCATCCTTTTATTTTTATTTTATTTTATTTTATTATTTTATTTTATTTTATTATTTTATTTATTTTATATTTTATTTTATTTTATTTTATTTTATTTATTTTATTATTTTATTTTATTTTATTTTATTTTATTTTATTTTATTTTATTTTATTTTATTTTATTTTATTTTATTTATTATTTTATTTTATTTTATTTTATTTTATTTATTATCTCACCAGGGACTTGCTCCCTCTGTAGACTGAATTTGAAATCCTGTTTAAGCAGAAGCTCCAACAGGTGCACTGGAATATTCTCTCAGGATTATCAGCATTGAAAAAATACGCATTGTTTGAATAATTCAGTCATATTTATATGCAAAAAAAGGTACATTCAGTGTGATTGTAAAAATAAGAAACAAATTCCTTAAAGTATCACAAATGGAATATACTTATCTAATAGCTCTGAGAAACCTGCTTCAGGTTCCTGCTCCGCAGTGGCCGAGCTTGGTTTCTTTGTCATAATCTTTCAACCTGAGTGTGGTAACCTTAATGTGCCTTAGGGCAAATTTCATACCCCGAGCTCTGGAGGAAGAGCAAAATGCAAGTACGATAGTAACAGAATTCAAAGGAAATCCCTTCACCATATTGAAAGAATGCTTTAATTGTTAGATTTTGGTAGGTTGTTTTTTTCCCCAAAAAAATGCTGATAGTCATCCATCCAGAGTTCTCTGATCCTGACTGATCCTGGCTCTTGTCCTCTGCTTTCTTCATCTCCAGGCAAGTGTGTAAAGAATTTACCGATCTTTTGGCCCAAGACCGGACACCCATTGGCAATAGCCGCCCAACGCCCATCTTGGAGCCAGGGATCCAGAGCTGCTTGACTCACTTCAGTCTCATCACTCATGGCTTTGGGTCCCCAGCCATCTGTGCTGCTCTGACTGCTCTCCAGAATTATCTGACGGAAGCTCTCAAAGGCATGGACAAGATGTTCTTGAACAACAACTCTGCTAACAGGCACACTTCTGGGGAAGGACCAGGTAGTAAAACTGGAGACAAGGAAGAAAAGCACAGAAAATGAGAGAGAGAGAGAGAGAGAGAGAGAAAACAAAAACAAAACCCAGAAAGCAAGCTAATGAAAATAGGGGGTAAAACAGAAAGAAAAGGAGAGATTGAGAGCGATCCTTTGGGAGGAAAAACATTTAATTTTAGCTTTAAAACATTGGATTGGGTTTTGGAAGAATTATGCTAGGTAGATTACATCTGCAAGTAATTTAAAAAAAAAGAAAATAAGATCAGAGGCGCACAGTGGAACAGGAAGAGTGGCTCAGTGGCTCTATGGCAAAGGAACTTTTGAAGATATCATCCAGGATTTTCCACTTCTGTCATCCCACAATCCTTTTTTAAAATAATTTTTGGTGGGGATGAAATTATAACAGATAAAAGCAATCAATAATTTATTGGAAGAATCATTTTGATAATGTTGCTATGTTGGCTGAGGTACACAGTCTGTTTCTGTATTATTACTATTTTTAAAAATCTATCTAAAGTAGAAAGAAAAACCTAAGGGATGGATATATTTTATATTGGACTGTCCCGTTCAGAGCAAGTTTCCTGATTTTGTGCAAAATGTTGCTGTTCTCTCTCTCCGTGGTCTAAATAGCTGAGCCTCAAATTTATCAGTAGCATTTGGCCCAAAGATTTCCTAATAGTGGGAAGAAGGGGGGAAACAACCAAATCTGGGTCTGTCCAAACCACGAGTCATTAAGAAGAATTGTTAGTAACTACACGCAGAGGTGATGGGTTCAGGCTCTGAAAATGTTAAAATGTAACTAACTACAGTATATGGATGAGTAAGTGGAAGAGCTAATGGGTTGCTCTCAGGTGCCTCTGCTTGTTCTGGATACTCTACCTAAAGTGTTAATCAAAAGCTGCCCACTTAACATATTTAATCCTAAAACTTGGGGGGGCTGCAAATAATCATTTTTTTTCCTATTAATAAGGATGTGTAGAATTTATGTATATATGCTCCATTAAGGTATTGAATTGGATCCAGACTTGGTGATATTTGGAGGAGACCCATTGTAATCAAAATTAGCCATAACTAACTCTAGATCTAAAACTCAGCATGACTAAGTCTGAAACCAAATAGCTGACAATGAGAGCCAACCCTTTGTTTCATAATACAGTTTGCCTATCATGAAGCAAACATTTTCATGATGATGTACCTGTGGAAAAAAGTTGCACAGGCATGCAACAACTGTGAACAGGAAAGGCAAAAGATTTTGTGGATAGATATAAAGATCAACATGCCTTTTCTTTTCAATTGCAACTTTTTTCGTAACTACTGTTGTATGGAGGGCAAATGTTACTACTGAAATGGCCCTGTGCCTGAAACTGGTAATCTTTATTCCTAGTTTGTTTATAGAATATTTCTAAAATACACATGGAGCTCTCACCTGGAACACTACCTTTTACATTTCTATGAAATAACTTGTCCTATTGAAGGGGAGGGTTCACAGTGTCCCATAAGAGGCACAAATGAAAGTGTGTGCTACAAAAGTGAAAATCCACGTATGGAAGACATTCATGTATGCATTGGAGTGCAGTTAGGCCTCCTAGACTGGGAACAGTAATGGTAGAGATAATGTCACAGATAATGGTATCAATCTGTACATTTTTATACCAAAATTTGAGCAATGACTGCCTCTCTTTAAAATGTCTCAGATCACAGACACACTTTTTGTGCTTTTAAAGAAATGTTAATAAGAAGAATGTCTTGATAAGTATGTTAAACCTTCTCAGGAGTATGCACCTTTTTAATTTTCTTCTGTTTCCCAAAGCTTTGCCCGCTTGGCTTATGAGCTTCTTCAAAGAGGACTAGAGCTCCGTACACATTTCATCAGGTACTGAGATGAAAATCCACAATTCTGAAATTTTTCTTTTTCAAATCAAAGTCAGTTGTTTTGGAATTCTGCAGGTGTACTTCTTTAAAGAAGCTCAAAGGGAATAGATTAAGTAAGGCTTCACTAACTGAGCAAGTGATGCTGATTTAGAAGCAAATATTATGTCCTCCAATATTAAAAAAAAAACAATTGGGAGGTGGGCCAATAGTGTTTGATGCACAGAGTAAAAACAGATTTTTAAAATATATTTCCTCTTTTAGAAAAGGTATAATAAGTATCATGGCTCATTATTAAATTAGTATCTAAATTTAAAGAAATCAGTTTCTCCTCATTATCAAAGGAGTGTTGCAAATTTTGAGTTGGAAGATAAATAGTTATCTTGACCCTGGGGTGGAAGAGGAGGAATTGGCCATTTTCCAAGAATTTACAGCAATTAAGTACGAATTACATTTTTAAAACGTTTAACTCCTTTTTGGAGTAGGTAGGAAAAGAAACCATCCTTAAGGGGAAAATGAATGTCACCCTGCATGTTATCACTTTGCAAAGGTTTTGTTGAATTGACAGTGGCTATGGTATTTCATGCATTTTGAAAGATTGTTTCCCTTTGTCACAACAGCTTGTGTCTATGCTTCATTTTGGCCTCACATACTGAATTCATTCTAGAAGATGAGAATAGGATAAAGATGTATTATGCCTGCCACCCTGATCCCAAACACATTATATGGCTGTAAGTTCCATTAATTTTGGTGGAATTTCATTCCACTTAAGGGAACGTTGAAGGCTTGGGTCTATGGCTAATCATCCATGCTGAAGTCAACTTTTTATTTGAAATGCAGTTTTCAAATGCTGTTTGGGTACTTGCAGTTTTCAGTAAAAGTTACATCATTTTACACTATAAACTGGGATCACATAATACAGCAGTGGTTAATGTTTCATTTGAAGCAACTGTACATATCATATGCCAGGCAGTTGCAAGTTTTGCAGCATATATACAGAAATGTATCAATGTGCAGATGCTTGAAATATTCTTAATTTATAATTATCAGTCCTGTTTCCATATAGGAAGCTATATACCATAGGTGGTAAATTATGTATGTGCATTTAGAAGCTGACCCTGTGATTCCTAATTCCCAACCAAGCTAATTAAGATGTACTTAAAGCTATTTTTCCACATTGAGCAATTCTGGTATCAGGAATTCACCATTTTGTTTGTTTTTAATGAGACATGTTCCCAAACTCTTAAATAGGAGTCTATTGACATCATAAGGCACCATTTCCAAGTATATTTATCTAGGCAGGAAAGTTCATCAATCTGTGGTGCTTCCACATATAATATCTAAATACTAAAATTGTAGTTCTATTGACTTTAATAGGAATTTATTTAATGCCAACTATTAGTTGAGTTGTGGGAGAAGCTTTAAATTCTGATCTTAATTCATATCTGTCCAATTTCAGTGATATTTTAGGAGGAGGAGTGATTAAGCACAGCATTTTTACAATAAGATTGTGATCATGGCTATTGCAGAACTTGAAAAATCTTAACTGAATTTTCATATGACATTAATTCATTTTAATTAGGAATATAGTAAAAACAATAGTTATGAAGTCAATAGCATACTTTCTTATTTTTTGGTCAGTGATATTATCTTAGTGTAGCCATTTTATTCTATTTGAGGAAAAAAATGTTTTGGATCATTTTTGCTGTCTTGAGTACTAGTGTTTTTTTAAAAAGCTGCCCAATTTATCAAGGCAATTAACAGGCTAAATAGTTAATATATTAAATAATGCAGTGTAGTAGGAACTGTCCCTAAGGGAAAAGAAATGTCTTTCTTCATACAACACAGTAAAGTCAAAACTACCATTCCATCTACCCAGTTTGCTACATTTATTTTTCAGAGAATTGAGTATGTGTTGGACTTGATCCTATTAAAGCCAATGGAATTTAAATGTGCTTAATATTGACTGAATTACACAGCATACTTTTAAGATATCTTTCTTTATATGACATACTGGAAATTTGTATCTTGTTTGTATGTCTTGTCCATTCTAGAATCCAGAAAGAAAGAAGAAAGGAAAGGCAAAATGGATCTTTATGTTCATATTATTTTAGAGGACCCTCTATGGTACTTGAAGGCAGTTGTAGTATGGATTGCTTTTCTCTTTTCTCTGAATTTAGGCTTTCTTGCCGAATTTTATAAATATAGCAAGTTCCCTATTGCAAAATAAAAATAATTTACTATTCCACCCGTTAATGTGAACATGAAAGATCCATACTGAATTAACATTAAAAAGGCTTACTGAGGAAATATACCATTACTTAAAATTCAACTGCTTGTGCCTAAGATACAGATTATCATTAAATTAAACAAGACATTGAGGCAGAAGAATTGAAAAGTTGGACAGGTATAGACACGTAACTGATATTGATTACTGAATTGCAGATATGCCTGCCTTTTACTTTTAAATGTTGCTAAAGTTTGTTGCATAACAATCCAGAGAAATCTGATTTGCTGTTTTAGAATAAAATTTGAAAGATTTTTTTTTGAATGGTATGGGAAGATCAATTATTATTTAGCTTTAACGAGCAGGTGTTTGGAGGCATTATTTGATAAATGTGTCCCAATCTCAGCTTGCTGACCCTCAAGCTAATTTTGTGTATATGCATATGAGTATCATAAAGACAGAAAGAAATAGAAAGAAGTGCCAGTGGTTTTACTGGTTAGGGTCTTCTGCCCCAATAACTTGTTAACTATTCCAGGAGAATATTCTTTCACAAGGTGTTTTGTTTTGTTTTTTTGGTATCACCAACAGATTCTGTGACCCTGCAGCAGAATGCACAAATGGATTGAGCAGTATTGTCTACACACTGATTGGCATCTTCATATTTTCAGAGATACATTTTGTGCAATCCATCCTTTGCTATGCCAAGCCCTACTCTTCCCCCATCTCTTATTTTTGGTAATTTTATTCCACATCCCATCAGTGTTCCTAGAGGCTAATAATCTGACCCATCTACTTTTAAGTTTTTTTTTCTTAAAAGAGTTTGTAAATTACTTGAGTATATAAAAGATTGGCTGCCCATGCTACTGTTACATCACAGCTGCAGGACCCAACTTTTTCTTGAAGCAATGTATTAAAATAATAGTTATCAATACAGTCTTAAAAGTAATTGATA